GTAAATGTCCAGCTTGACCCTCTTTCACTGCCTTCTGTCAATATACTATCAAAATATATTGACTCTTTCTTCACCACATCTCACCAATTTGAACTACCTTGCCATCCCAAAGCTATTATTCTCTAAGACTTTTACCCACCAGTGGCCATTTCTTTTTTCTAAATTTGATATGCACCCACTCTTGTATCCACAGACTCATTTCTACCACCACCATCACCGCCACCACCACCACCATCATCATCACTGCTAATGCTACTATCATGATGCCAATTATTATGGTGATACTAAAAATTGAATCCAGGCCCTCAAGTAAGTAAGGTAAATGCTCTATCACTTGAGACATGTCCCCAGTCTTTTTGTTTCTTTTTGTTTATGAAATAGGGTCTCAATAACTTAAACCTTTGGCCCTGGCTGGTCTGACCAACAACCTCTTGCCTCGCCTTCCTGAGTAGTCGCTGGATTACAGGCAGGGGCCACCATGCTTGGTTTGTTTCTATTATTTTAATAAATATTTATTATATATTTTCATAGTGAAATGTTTTAGGGAAGATGCTGTAAGATTACAAAGATGACTAATAGGTAGTCTGTTGTGGTTTGAATATGACATTCAAACAAACCATAGGCTCATGTTGAAAGCCTAGTCACCAGCTGGTGGTTCTATTGGAAGGTAATTGGATCATAAGGACTCTAACTCACAGCTGAATGGACTATTAGAAGGTGAGGCCTCAGTGGAGGTAGTGGGTCATTGGAGGCATGCCTTTGAAGGGTATATCTTGTCCCCAGACCCTTTATCTAACTAACTCTCTGCTTCCTGGCTGCCACAGGTAAGCAACTTTGCTCCACCATGCCCATCCACCAAAATGGACTGAAACCTCTGAGACTGTGAGCCTAAATAAATCTTTCTTTCTTTAAGTTGTTTTATCAGGTATTTTGCTGAAGCAATAAAAACTGATTAAGCAAGAGTGGAGTACCAAGAGTGGGGGTCCTTGGTGTGACTTTCCAACCATGTGGTTCATAAGGTTTTATAATGGCTTTTGGGGAAGAGTTTGGAAAATTATGGAGAAGCAAGCTAGAAAAGGCTTGGAATGCTATAAACAGAGTTTAATGGGTGATTCTGGTAGGAGATCAAAAGACCAGAATGATAATAGGAATGAGAACATTAAAGACTGTGCTCATGAGGCTTCAGGTGGAAAAGAGGACTCTCTTGGGAATTAGTGCTGAGGTCATTCATGTTATATTCTAGCAAAGAACTTGTTTATCTGCTGGGAAAACTGGTAGCAGTCTGCAAAAAACCGAAACTAGATCCATGTATATCACCCTATACCAAGATTAACTCAAAAATGGATCAAGGATTTAATATCAGACCCCAAACTCTTAAGTTGATACAAGAAAGAGTAGGAATACTCTGGAGTTAGTAGGTGATAGGTTAAGAAACTTTCTCAATGAAACCCCGCAGCACAGCAACTAAGAGATAGCATAGATAAATGGGACCTCATAAAACTAAAAAGCTTCTGCTCATCAAAAGAAATGGTCTCTAAACTGAAGAGAAACACCGCACAGAGTGGGAGAAAATATTTGCCAATTGATACATCAGACAAAGGACTGATAACCAGAATATACAGGGAACTTAAAAACTAAATTCTCTCAAAACTAAATGAACCAATAAAGAAATGGGCAGTGAACTAAACAGAACTGTTCTCAAAAGAAAAGAATTCAAATGGCCAGAAAACACATGAAAAAAATGCTCACCATCTTCTAGCAATAAAGGAAATGCAAAATTAAAACCACACTAAGATTTCCCGCCACCTCACCCTGTTAGAATAGCCATCATCAGCAACACCACCAACAACAGGTGGTTGGCAAGGATGCGGGGAAAAAGGAACCCTCTACACTGTTGGGAATGTAGACTAGTACAACCATCTGGAAAAAAAATTTGGAGGCTACTTAAAAAGCTGGACATCGATCTACCATTTGATCCAGCAATAACCACTCTTGGGATATACCCCAAAAGACTTGTTACTCCAGAGGCACCTGCACATCCATGTTTATTGCGGCACTATTCACAATAGCCAAGTCATGGAAACAGCCAAGATGCCCCAGCACTGACGAATGGATTAAGAAAATGTGTATCTATACACAATGGAATTTTATGCAGCCATGAAGAAGAACGAAATGTTATCATTCGCTGGTAAATGGATGGAATTGGAGAACATCATTCTGAGTGAGGTTAGCCTGGCCCAAAAGACCAAAAATCGTATGTTCTCCCTCATATGTGGACATTAGATCAAGGGCAAAACAACAAGGGATTGGACTTTGAGCACATGATAAAAGCGAGAGCACACAAGGGAGGGTTGAGGATAGGTAAGACACCTAAAAAACTAGCTAGCATTTGTTGCCCTTAACGCAGAGAAACTAAAGCAGAGACCTTAAAGAAAGCAACTGAGGCCAATAGGAGAAGGGGGACCAGGAACTAGAGAAAAGGTTAGATCAAAAAGAATTAACCTAGAAGGTAACACCACGCACAGGAAATCAATGTGAGTCAATGCCCTGTATAGCTATCCTTATCTCAACCAGCAAAAACCCTTGTTCCTTCCTATTATTGCTTAACTCTCTCTACAACAAAATTAGAAATAAGGGCAAAATAGTTTCTGCTGGGTATTGGGGGGGGAGAGGAGGGGGTGAGTGGGTGGTAAGGGAGGGGGTGGGGCAGGGGGGAGAAATGAACCAAGCCTTGTATGCACATAATGAAAATAATAAAAGAAAAAAAATGAAAAAAAAAAAAAAAAAAGAACTCTGTAGACCCCAGGAAATCAGAGATGCCAGGAATTGCCAGGAATGTGGAGGATCTGTCAAGGAAAGCCACAGTCAGGGAGCACAGCCAACCTGGAGAAAGGCCTTGTTGTCAAGGAAAGCCACAGTCAGGGAGCACAGCCAACCTGGAGAAAGGCCTTGTGGTCTGCAGCTGGCAAGGTCCCAGGGATGGGGCTTCCCCAGCTCTTGGGAGCTCATACCATGGTCATGTATACCCTGAATGTTGGCTATAGAGCTATAGTATTTTACATTTTCCCTGCTGGTTTTGGGTTTTCCTTTGGTCCCATCCCTCCTTTCTATGCCATATGCCTCACTTTTGCAGTGTGAATGTTTACCCTTTGCCATTATCTGTTGGAAATCTGTAGTTTTCTTTTTGATTTTGCAGGAGCTCATGGGTAAAAGGTTGCCTTGAGTCTCAAAGGAGACTTTGAACTTGGACTTTTGAGCAATGCTAGAACTATTGACAGTTGGGGACCTTCAAAGATAAATAAAATGCATTTAATATTATGAGATGGACATGAGGGGCAAAATATTATGGTTTGGATACAAAGTGTTCCCCCAAAATGCTTCTATGTTGATGTCTTGGTCCCCAGCTGGTAGCACTATTGAAAGGTGGTTGGATCATAAGGGTTCTGACTTCATCAATGGATTAGTCTACCACAGAATTTATAGCTGAGTAGACTATTAGGAGGTGGAGCTTAGTTGAGGAAGTGGGTCATTGGCAGGGCGTGCCATTGAAGGGTATATGTTCCTGTCTCTCTGTTTCTTTGTTGCCATGCGGTAAACAACTTTGCTCTCCCTAGGCTTTCTGCCATGGTGGACTGAAACCTCTAAAACTGTGAGCCAAAATTAACCTTTCCTCCTTTAAGTTGGTTTTCTCAGGTATTTTGTCACAGTGATAAAAAACTGATGACAACCTGGTCTCTCCTCTTAAATTTTATATATATAGTTTATATCACAAATATGCATGTATTTCTTTATTTTAAACACCTATTTTCTTTACAGCGTAACGTTTCATAATAATATATAACTTCAGTGATTGGTAAGGTACTTATGTTTTTGTTACAGTGATTGTAAAACTGCCAACAGAGATGGAAACAAGCCCTCACAAAAAAAAAAATATAATGCTAAGAAGGCAAAACCAGCATGGTCCTAGAGTAATACCACTGCTGTGCTGCTTTGGCTCTGGTCTTTGTGCATCCTAACAAAGATGACAAAGATGATTAAAATGTGTACTCTGTGGTTTGTTAGTCATGGTGCTGAGGGTAAAACCAAGAGTGCGAAAATAATTGTACTTACAGATATTAAAAATACACATTCCTGTCTCATCTTAACACCTTCTATTTATTTAAATATTTGCATTTGCACTCTTGCTTTTGATAAATATAATTTCTGAGGAATGCAAGTAGCACAACAGAGCAGAACAGAGTCCACTGGGTTGCACTGCACTATCACTAAGTGGGTTTGGGATATTTTTGTGTTCTAAAAGGGTACTCTTAGATCCCTGAGGATGGTCCACTGTTTTGTGTTTCCACTGTATTTCCTACTGCAAGTCGTCCAGATCTGACATTGCATCTTGTGCCTTCACATAATATATGCCATCTTGCCCTCCTCCAACACTGTACTGACTGTTCTTATGTGCAGTCCTCAGTGGTCTGCACAACACTGGCTCCAAGCCACCTTGCACCTAGAAGCCCTTCCGACCATTGCTATCCACTCACTTCTTCACTTCTTCAAGAATGTCTAAGAGAATACCACCTTCATGCAGCCCTGTCCATTCTTTCAAAAATCAGGTCTCCTTCGTCAAGCCAGTGTTTTAATCCATACATTTCAACACACTAGTGCATTATTCCATGTTGTCTCTCACTGCACACTCATTGCTCCCAAGTGTAGATCCATGTCCCCAAAATTAGGTTCAAAGTAGGGACCAAGACCTTAGGGCTGCATTCTAATTGAGCTATTAATGTTTTCTAGATCTTACGATTGCACCAGTGTTAAATCAGACATATCGAGTTTTTCTCTATAAACCAAAGAATACTATTCAATTCATTAGATATATCAATGATTTTTACAGAAAATTAATTTCACAATCTCTTCTCAAATTCTAATTTCACGCATCAGACTGATAATGATGATATGTAAGAGAATATGTGGGCAGTTCCTCCTCAGGCTGCTTCTGGAACTGTTACCTTTCCCAGTGGCTGCACACATTGGGATCTTCAAGATTCAGAGGTGATGCTGTCTCAATCCAGTGGCACAACAATAAACAGGTAAAGGCCAGACATGGGCTCAAAGAAATAGCCATTTTTTGAAGAACAACCTACAAGAAGAAAAAAATAGGGGTGCATTAAAATCATCCAAACTGAATTCTTTTTAGTAGAACAACTGTTCAGCACCAGTTGTCACTTGGGTAGAAACATGCATAGCAGACAACGTATTTAAATAGCTGAGACACCAGATTTCATGGCCCAGGAGAGAGTGGTGTTACAACGTGCAGGGTGCTGACTTTTGTAAATGACTAAAATGGGCAAATCATCATTAATTGCCACTCCAATGAAAGCCTTTCTCATTCATGCCAGTTGACACTAAAGGAATCCACCAGAACAGCCCAGAGCAACACAGGCTTTCAGATTCTCTCACCAGGCACATTTCCTTCTGGAAGAAGAGGGCCCGTGGAAGAATCTGGCCTCATTTATCCCCAAGAATAAATGATGAAACAGAAGCTCCTCTGAGTCGAGAGAGGAGAAGCTCAGACTCAGCCTGAGATCCATTCAGTGGTTCATTCAACATGTGCTGAATGCTCATCCAATCCTAGGCACCATAAAATACATGAATTCCCTTCTCATCCTATTAAGATGCTCATAATTTAGTAACTGCGATACAAATTTCTTAAATATAGTGAGTCAGGTTTTCCGTCTGCTGAATAGAAACAAAATCAACTGTCTTACCATAGTTTCTTTTTTAAAGGTAGAGGACTCGGCATGGAGGTGTATACCTGTAATCTCAGTTGTGTGGCAGGTTGGTAAAGGGAGGATTCTGGTCCAAGGCCAGCCCTGGGCAAAAGCATGAGCAATCTGAACAAAAAAACAAAAAAGGGCTTGGGAACATGGTCTAAGTGGTAGAGTGCTTGCCTAGCAAGCTCAAGGAAGACCTTGAGTTCAAACTGCAATACCACAAAGAAAAAAATGTAACTATATAGGAAAAGTTTAAAGCTGTTTAGAGGTCAGCATTGGAGAAAATGAAGCAAGAGACTATAGTGGAAAAACAAATAGCAACATATTTGGAAAGCTTGGAAAACAGGTAGGCTGGAAAAGGAAAAAGAAGAAGTGGGAGGGTGCTCCAGGGAGAGGGGTCCAGAGGCAAGTGAAGGCCAGGGGCATTTACAAAGCTCAAATTAATTCATGGAAAAGGAAGACAACAGCTGCAGAGAGATGGAGAAGAGGAGGGGGCACATCACTTTATTAACCATTGTCAAGTGTGAGACTTCACTCAAGGATAACAGGGAGCTGTTGAAGTGTACTAGTGAAACTAAAAAGATGAGCCAGGTAAGACATGACTGTGGTGAACTAGGAAGCAGCATTGGACTGGCAGGATTTGAGTGACTGTGGGAGCTTTGTAGGAAGTAAAATCATTAGGACTTGGTGGCTGAAACAGGGAGTAAGAAAGGAAAATGTGGTCTAGCTCCTGGGGAAAATGGTCAGTCCCTCACTGACAGGGTAAACAAGAAAGCCCTCTTCCTCAGGGGAAAGGAGGTTTTGAGTTCAGTTTTAGATATGTCAAGTTTCAGATTGCTACGAGGTATTCAAGTGACACACCTGAACCACAATCACCTCAAAGCACTGAGCCTTAGAGAGAAGGAAAGACTAATCATTATCCAGTCATTATTAAAATGGACATGAAATTAGAAATATCTGATCCATTTACTAATTATAAGGAAATAAGCATTAACCTGCCTGTTGTGAAACAGTAACAATAGGCCAGAAGCTATTTTCTGAGTGAGAATTGGCATTTTGAGGAGTTATGCTAATTTTCCATACCACAAAATCACCAGTTTTGAGCATCTGGGTACCAAATTTATTGAATAATAATTCTGTGGTTGAAAAGATAAGATTATCTTAAATAATATACAACAATAACAGCAAATAGTACATAGTTTATCTTTCAAATTCAGGTAGACATATACAAAATGGAAATATTAAACCCTTCAAGATCAGGACTGTTTAGGGCAAATTCTAAAACCTCTGACTCCACAAGGCAAATCAAAAGAAAATGATTTAGGATAAGGAAAAAAATATCATGGATTTGCAGAGTAATTAAAAGATAATATAAGCCACTACTAAGAGATATGAAATCTTTAAAAGTGAATTTCATTAATCACTAAATAATTTCAATATTTAAAGCATAGATAGGTAGCCAACATATGACTCATAGATTAATTAAAATTATTGATATTTTCATAGGCTCACATTATGAAGCTGTGAAATCTAAAATTTAACATTCTATAAATAAAGAAGCTATTCCACTTAAGAGAAATGAATAAAAACTAATGGTGATGATGATGATAACAGTCACAGCTAGCATTTCCTGTCTAATTACTGTTCTCCACACAGTATTGAGCTCTTTATGTGAACTATTTAGCCCTCACACTAACTTGCCCAGGAAACAGGGGTTTTAGTGCCCCCATTTTACAGCTGAAGATGTAATATTACAGCTAGTGCTTCTTCCTCCCCAAACTCTTTAAGGTCTTTTGTTTGTAACAGGTAAGTAAAGCAACGTTTTGTCTCACAGCTTTTCTGTGTCAGGATAAGAATCTGTTTCAATGAAGTATGAAATACATATGTTAACTTTCATTCCTTCCTCAGACAAAATGAAGTTTGGGAAGCAGTAATCTGCCATTTACTCAAAAACAGTTACCCAAGTTGGGAAGTTTATGTCCTGAGTCACCATTCCAGATCAAACCATCTATTTTCCAATCAGAAATGTTTAGTCTGCAAAGTTAGAAATTACCACAAGTGAGCCAGACAGCCAAGAAAATGAAAGAAGGTATGTGTTCTCTTTCAAGGTGAAAATTGTGACACTAATCTTCCAGTTTCTCTTCTTGTTTGCACCTGATTGATGCCTGTGGGGTTACAGCAGGAAACAAGCAGCCTTTGGTCACCTCCTCATTGCTTTTGAAATTCCTCATGCAGAAATACCAAACTGCACCAAAAAGAGGCAGGTGGCATTGTGGGAGAGAAAAAAATCAGTACATTAAAAGATGTGTGTTGTGTGTGTGTGTGTGTGTGTGTGTAAGGGAAGCCCCAGCACAAACACAAAACCCTATTCAAAAAATAGCTAAGGCAAAAGCAGACTGGGGACATGGCTCAAGTGGTAGAGCACCTGCCTGGCAGGCACAGGCCCTGAGCTCAAACCTCAGTACCACCAAAAAACAAGCAACAAGTAAAATATAACAAGTATATTTTGGAGAGAAGACTTCTCACTAATATGCTAACAAACTATAAATAACAACAAAAACACATCACTATACTCAGAAACATGGATGATCCTTTTGCCCTGTTTCTTCTTGTTTAATGAAGGCATGAATATGCAATCGAAATATGCAGTTGGTAGAACATTTCACAAACTCTTTCCGTGCTTTCTTCTAAGTTTTGGGAAGTGGTACCTTCTCTCCTTAGTGACTATCCTGAAGGAGGAAAAGTTCAGTACATTTTCCTCTCATTTCTCTCCTCTATGCTATAACATCTTATACCCTATCTTTCCAATTTTTGTTTCCTAATAAAAACAAAGTACATTTTAAAATATAGATTTAAATTGAAAAAAGGCAACAGAGGGATGATTTGATTCATTAAAATAGATATTTTGAAAATATTCAGAACTGGAAACTGGGTAGTAAGCTCCCCTCACCTACCCAGTCTTCATCTTCAAATAACTTTCTAATGATTCCATTTAACAAAAATTTAAATATAAAAAATAAGCCATTTGCATGAACCCCCTAGTGCCAAACTTGATTGCATCTGAGATCATCCACATAATTATTATGGAAAAATCAAAACAGAAAATCAGTACACCTGATTAGCATTGCTAAAGTGCTCCATTAAAAAGAGGAACAGCCCCCAGAGTTAACTCTTCCTTCCTTGAGCTTCTACTTGGAAGACAGGCTTTGCTTATTCCATCACAAAAGTCTTCATAAATAATCAGGTTGAGTAAAATCCTCACAATGACTGAGTGTGGGTTCTAATAATAGTGTGGTAGCTTCCTTATCATGTGTTAAGAAATAATAATGGGGCGAAATACGTTGACTTACTAATTTATTTTTGCAACAGAGGGGATAAACGATTCTAGACAATTCTTTGGGGCTCTAAATCTATTGCCTTTTTAGAATCATTAAGAGTAAACACAGAAATAACTTGGGTGCTGCCAACCAGTTTTTTTCTCACGCATATTAGCTATCTCTAAGATCTTCTCACAGTCACCAAATTAAATCTAATTTCTTAATTAAGAATAGCCACTTTCCCACAATTTTCTCCCTGGAAAAAATCTACTTCACTTGGCCACTCTATCCTGTTATTTATGAAGGACCAACTACTTGCTTCTCCTCGTTTTAATCAGAAAGGCTGCGTGAGCTGGGCTGAAGGCGATGTCCTGTGTTCTTCCTAGGACTCTGAGAGTGTGAGCAGGGTATCAACAGTCCAGCTTCAATGTATGAACACTTGCTAGGTCCTCTGAGAACAACCTCAGAGCAGAACTTCCAGGGAAATACAAATGCTGGTAAAAGAAATCCCTAAAGCACTGTCATGATTTTTTTTTCACCATCCAAGGTGTGTTAGTTAGCCTTGTGTTAGTCAACTTAAAAAGAGGAAAGTTTTATTTTGGCTCACAGTTTTGGAGGTTTCAGTTCATGGTCACTTGGCTCTGTTACTTTGGGTCTGTAACAGCACAGGACATCATGGCAGGAATGCACAGCAGAGAAGACAGTTCACCTCATAACCAGGTGTGAAAAAAGGAAAGGAAGGCACAGGGCCTCACAGCCCCCTTCTAGGGCACACCCACAATGACCGAGAAACCCCCTTCGAAGCTCCACCCTTTAAAGATTCTACTGCCTGTTACTAGTGCCAGGCTGTGCTGAGATCTAAACAGCAGCACAAGATGTTATTCCCGTGTCACACTCTACCACCCAGCGTGAGTATTCACCTCGAACAGCAGATTGGCTAGATGTATAGTTTTGAAGGCCTGCATCATTTTGCTAACATCGAGTCCGAATCCTACAGCAAAAATATTCTAAATAAAGTTAAAACATATTGATGGCCATCACATAATATA